TCCACTGAATAGTATTCATCTTGTTTAGACAAGGATGAATAGTTGAGGGAAGGAGTCATCCTACCCCCTTGTACACAGGAGTGATAGGACAGGCAACTTCGACACGGGGATGCTATAAAGGCATGAAGTGACTGGCTTACAAGTTTTCAAGAGGGAGTTTAGTTTCAGTGTGAGGGGAGTGAGGAGAGGTAGAATCTCCACTGAATAATTTTCATCCCTTCTAGACAGATAAGGTCAGCGGTTCGAAACTACCAGCCGCTCCGCGGGAGAAAGATGAGGCTTTCTACTCCCGTAAGGATTTACACCCTCGGAAACCCTGTACAGGGTCGCTATGGGTCGGAACCGACTCGACGGCACTTAACAACAACACAACAGACAGATCAGGTTAAAGGAGATCAGGTAAAACGGAAAAGATTCTTATGATTCAATAGTAAATGTTATGACTAATTGCAATCATCCCAACAGTAAAGGTAGAAGTTTTGTAACATTAACAGGTAAGTTGTTGTTGTTAAGTGCCGTCGAGTCAGTTCCGACCCATAGCGACCCTGTACAGGGTTTCTGAGGGTGTAAATCTTTACGGAAGCAGAAAGCTTCCTGCAGACCGGCTGGTAGTTTCGAACCGCTGACCTTAAGGTTCGCAGCCCGATTCGTAACCACTACGCTACCAGAGCTCAGTTAATCTTAACAATCCGGCATCAGAGAACCCTAGGACCATCAAGGGAGAACATGAACAGAATGTGTAACCTTATCTAGAGAAGCAGTGACACCAGAGATGGAGAGAGATGAGAACATGGAGAGTTAAGAGCAGCAAAGGACTTGTGGAAAGACTGTGTTGGTGGCCAGGAGGCAGGTTTGCAGAATAAGCCCATTGGTTGTTTAAATTATAGATTCCTGAGGGTTTGGGTATACTTTCTCTACCCACCAATTTTTTCAGTATGTTGTTAAGTGCCAATAGCAACCCTGTATAGGGTTTCCAAGGAGCAGCTGGTGAGCTTGAACCACTGACGTTACAATTCGAAAGACTTTCAGTATAGTGACTATGCATTCCTTTTACCTTCTTTTGATGTTTTCTGCATCATTCAACAATTTGCCCAGAGAATCCTTCTGTATTTCAAGTTGAGGCATGAATTGTTTCAATTCTTTCAGCTTAAGAAATGCTGAATGTTTTCCCCTTTTGATTATCTAACTGTAGTTCTTTGCACATTTCATAATAATATACATCCATGAATATCGTAATGCACATACGGAACAGGGTCATGAAATCTTGTTAAGTGCTATAGAGTTGATTCTGACTCAGTGACCCTGAACAGGGTTTCCAAGGAAGGGCTGGTGAACTTGAACCACTGGACCCTGCGGGTCAGACTTTGCAGTGCAGTGCAACAAGCAGCACAACAACAAGAAACTTTTGTTTTGTGCCATGTAGTCTGTTTCAGCTCAGTGCTTTAGCCATAACCAAACACTATGAAGGATGTGTCCCAGAGGGCATACATAACATAGCCAACAAAACAATGTTCTACATCCTTTGGAGAGTAATGACCAGGGTCTTAAAACCTTTAGAAGCAGCCATCTAAGGTGCAACTATTGGTCTTTCCCCAAGACCAACTCGAGAGCATATGATAAAAGATTCATGAAAAAATTTAGCCCAAAAGACTACACGCAAACCTCAGCCTATGGCGCCCTGAAACAAGATGGTGGTTGGTTACCACTACCAACTGCTCTGAAAAGAATTTTAGAAGGTTCTGGCTAGAATGAATAAAGTGAAAAGCAAAATTCCAAACTCACAGACTAGCACTAACCATGGCCTTTAACTACCCTTTAGCCCTGGGATTGAATTTATCCTCAACTTTCAGTAAAACAATTGACAGCTCTATAAGCCAAGTCCAGCGAACCTTTGAAGGTTCTAGGTTCAAACCCTATATGGGATTGCTATGAATATTAATGGCACTTTACATTAGGGAAAATGGCACTACTATGGAGCCAAACATTCCTTAGAATTAATACCATTAAATATGAAAAGAGAAGTATTTGACTAAGGAAGAACAAATGTAAAAAAGAATGTGGAATAAAAGGTGTTATACTGTGGAGACTGCAGTCATGAATGTATGAACTGCTGAATGAAAAGCTGATTTGTTCTGTAAATAATCTGCCACAATAAAGAGTATTTTTTTTTTTAATGAGAATTAGAAATAACAGAGGGGGAATGGAAGTGGATGGTGCCCCACTACCATTACTCAACATTTTAATCAAAGATTCTAAGAGGATTTGGTTCTAACTCATAGCGATCCTGTATAAAGTTTACGAGGAATGGCTGGTGAGCTTTAACAGTCGACCTTGCATTTCAGAGCATTAACCCGCAGTGCCACACCAGGACTCCAAAGCTCAGACTACAGCCTGAAATTCCCAAGGACTTTCTGAAGCCAGAGGCTTGATAAACGTATTATTGATCTGAGATCAGTGTCAAATTAGCCTATAAGCAAGGTAAATAAGACATATTTATGCTTACTTACTAATCTGTAAAGAAGTTTCACATGATTTTCACCACATACAGAACATTTAATCCTTAGTTACAAAGTAAAAGCAATTGAACCAAAGTTCTGAAAAGGCTGTACAACAAAATAACCTACAATGACCAAAATGAAAGGTCAACTAAATTAAGGGTGTATGTCCTCCTTGTAATTTGCACTTCTAAATTGTATGCTTCACTCCTCATTCATTATATACTTTAGAATTGTTGTTGTCATTAAGAGCCGTTGAATTGGTTATGACCTATGGCAACTCTATATAAGGTATCCAAGGAGCAGCTGGTGAGCTTGAGGTTCAAACCAACTTTTCAATCCAGCGCATTAACCCAGTGTCACAACCAAGCCTTAAGAATTGGTTGATTTAAAATTTAAAAAGCTAAAAACAAAATATATTGCCGATATGGGAAAAAAACAAGACACAAAGTTAATGTTTTCTTCCCATTTATCATTAAATGAACTAGAGAAATTAACAGGTAGAATCCCATTTTTCTTAGATATTACTCTCTAAGTCAATTCTACATACTCTTATCATAGAAATGTTAATAACTTCAGCAAACTAGGTAATCGAATTATGAGAAATTACATAAATATAACTTTCAAACATCCATGCTAAAGTAGCAGTGGATTTATGAAACTTGTCTTTTATTTATCATACTTAAATGATTATAAAGTGAGAGTTGTAAAAGTGTTACTTTATAGGTGTTACATGAGCAATGCTGTTCCTGGAGCTGAAAATAAAACGAAGGAGAATTTTTTAGTAGTTAATATCTGAAGTGTGATAAACTGTACACTGAGAATATAAAGACAGAGAAATCTTGGTTTATCTTTGTATCCAAAAAGGTCTGTGGTTATCTCAAGAGTAAAATCTGTGAGTAACTGTGGAACTAATTTCTCATAGTCCAATGGCAAACTATATTTTAAAAAGAGCTTCAGATGTTGCTTCTAGAATTAAGCAAACGTACAGACCATGGTGGCCTAAGCACAGAAGACCCTAAACTAAGACAGCAGCTCTACCCATGTTTAAAAAGTATATATACAAATGAAAAATAAACACCCAAAATTTTATAAAATAAAATCCAACTTTTATTAAGGGGTTTGAAATTACATTGTATTTCAAATTTCTAGAATGGAACTGAACCATTTTTGAGCTGGAAAAACAGCACAGATGAACACTCTCGTCTCTTGAAACGCCAACATTTCCTGTGCACACCACCTCCCCCTTATAAAACAAGATGAAATATTATCTACCTCTTCACTTTGGCAGTAGCTATTTCCTAAAGGAATGAAAATAAAAGTAGTGGTTTTTACTACTTATGTTCATTAAAAATGGGATTCTATCTGAAGGTAAAAAATGTTTCAAGCTCAGAAGAAGTTAGTTTGATAACGAGCTGTGGGTACAAAAACCAATACAGAATGTCTGATCTAAGCAACCAATATCATTCTGAAAATAAAAGGTGTTTTCATGGCATTTTTTTTCTACAAGCTATTTTAACTGGTTAAGGATTTCCAGTAGTTAATTAAAATTTTATAGTGAAATTATATAAAAAGCAAATCCTATAGTAACCCTACAGAGCTGAGGAGAACTTCCCCATGGGGTTTCTAAGGCAGTATTATCTTTAACAAAAGCAACCTCTCCCCATCTTTCTCTGGAAGAGTAGCTAGTGAATGAATACTATATAATACTTTAAAAATGTGTTCACATTTCCATACCTTAACACTTAATATTTAAAGGGGAATTATCTTTAATAATAAATCCAGTATAATTTTATTAAGAAAAGAAACTCTTGGTCTTCTTCAGAGTTACTGATTAGTCCACCTTCACATTCAAAGTTTAAATTTATCACAAAAAAATTAACAGTAATTAGCCTGAGGTATTTTAAGTGTGGCTCTTTCCTCGAAGTTATGGCAACAAAATTTTTATATCTTAAATTTCCATGATCTCTGTAGTATTTACTACAACGTGGTCATCTAAAAAATTTCTTGGACATTTTGGAATAGTTGTTCACCCATTCACTTTTAGGTGCCACACAAAAATCTGCAGGTTTTGCCTGTCCAGATCCAGAGGTAACTAACCTTTGTTTTCCAGTGTAAGAATTACTAAACCTTAGAATAAAAAAAAAAAAAAGATGCTGACTATCATACTTGTGATATACTACATAGGCCCAAAATTCTTTCAACTTATTGAACACAAACAATTTATAAATTTTAAGTTAATATGTAACAAAATTTAACTTATTATGCCTCAACACAAATCTGTGAGGTAGTTAAGTAAACAGTACTACCCATTTTTAGTACAGAGTAAACAGAAGCATGGGTAAATGACATACTCATACTTTAACCAATATGAATTAGATAGAATAAGCCAGACATTTGGGGCTTTTTCTCTAGTTCTAACTCAAAAAGAATGTACTTTTTTTAATGCACTTAAAAAACAACCAAAAAAACACCTCCACTTAAGGTTTGTCTTCTCTTTTTTACACTTGCTTATTAGGTGATGTTCCAATGTTGGCACACTTTCTTCAAAAGCAATTTGAAACTCGGCATAAACATTTTAAGTTAGGCCTCTGCCTCTACCTAAATTAATACAAAATTAAGACATTATCTTATGAGAACTAAAATTATATTTGACATTTTTATTTTAGGTTGCAAAAACAAAAACAAACAAACAAACAAACAAAAAAACTTCAAATAGGCTTGTCAAATGATGAAAAGTCATCCTTTCCAGGGAAGTAGAAGGTAGACCCTACCACAAAGAAAAGATGCTTAGTTAATGGAGGTTAGATTTTAAAGTACAGTTAAATTGTGTGAGGTTAATGTCTGAAATACTAGGTTTTTTATGCATTTCCTTGTGACAACTAAAATTCCCAATTCTATGAGTTAGGTGTCATTATAGCTAATTGTATCACTAAAATACAAAATCCGTAAGCAATCTAGCAGTTAATAATTCGTAAGCATATGTGGTCTTACTGGAAATTCTTAACCATATACTTATTCTAACCAAGTTAAAAAAATAGCAATAGTGAAGTTTCTTTTAGTATAAGTCACTGCAATTCCATTAACAAAGTAATGAAAGGCACAGCTAATACAAGCAAACTTAAATCTTACAACTATTGGGTGAAAAAAATACTTTGGCTCTTTGGGAAAATAATTTCCAAGCAAGAAATTTGTTTCATTTACCAATTCTATTAAATTACATAAGCTGTAGAGTCTAATTATAAAAATATTCCACAAGAACCAAACTATGTACTAATGAATAAACATGCTTGAGAGAATTTATGCATTCCATATACTTGGCAGAAAAACTATAGTCAAAACGATAGGTAGAACAAATTTGTCTTAAAATCAGTTCCTTTCCTTTAAAAAAATTATGGAGAATACCAAGAAAATACAAAACCCTAAGGCTGTAAGTAACTAATAGTTGTGTTTAGGCTATTACAGTGCAGCTTATCCTCAAGGCCACAGACATCCTGCTTCACTGCTGCTTGCACTCTGCTGGGTTTTGATCCTTCTGTTAAAGGAAAACAACAAATCAATCTATTTTCTACCTGCTTTAGTAAACTTTCCACTACTATCTTAATTTAGTTCCTCAGCTCTGACAACATTTTAACCAAAGTAAAAAAAATAATGGTAAATTATCTATTCGTACATTACTAAGTCATTGAAATGCCGAAACTAAGCCCAAACTTTCATTATAAAATGAATTCCGAGAGGCACATCAAACCAATCTTTAAAAAAGTTACCAATGTTTGTCATATTACCAATTACTTTGAACTTTAAAGAGTAATTCACAAATAGCACTCACTATTACCCTGATCCTGAAAAATAATGTATTCAAATCTCTTAAACAACACACCTGTCATTATAAGCTTTCTTTGGGAAGAAAAATGACTTAAGAGCACCACAATATGTTTTTTAAATACAGTCAATAATTAAAATATAACCCCCTAAGGCTTACTTTCCTGAAACTATGAGAAGCATATGGTCAAAATCAAATCAAAGCATTTCTTACAAAAGGTGCACAAAAATTATGTGCACTACTCAAACAGCAGTGGGGATTTAATAAAAACAATAAACTTATAGAATGAATAGGTAACTAAAGAAGTTAATTTTAATAACACAGTGGCTCAATATAATAAGCACAGGACTGTGAAACACAAGACCCACAGTTCAAGCTTGCCATTCATTCCTCGGGAAATGGATGAAGCTTTCTACTCTTGAAAAGATTTAAAAGCCCTATCCCTATACACAGTTTCCTATGAGTCGAAACAACAAAGAATTTTAATGTGTAAAAGTAAACTATAGTACTCAGAACACCATGCCTTAATAAAATTAAATAGTTTAATAGACAGTAGCAATAATTTTGCTCACCTTCACATCATAGTCTGGATCATTTTCCTCATCTCCTTCTTCTTCCCCTTCCTATATTAAAGTTCAAAATGCATCCAATGAAGTAGGTACAGTAGGAAGAAATGGCTCATAGTGTAGGGAGTATTTAACACAAGTTACTCTATAGGTCATAGGATTTTCATGATTACAGAGTTTGGTGATAATGCAATTTAATTTGATAGCTTCTAATATGTAAATTTCCCAACACAACTCGTGACATCCAGACAGCTTTTATTGAAAAGATTTACTGCAGCCAACGTTGAAAAAGTTTACTGCAGCTTTTGACTTCTTCAAAGAGCTGATAACCCTGCAGCAGAACAGAATTATTTGAAATAAAAAAAAATGTTGCTGAGTTTTACAATTTATTTATTGAAACCTTATACATACATTGTACGGCTGTAGAATTCTAAAGTCATTTTTCCAATAACGGTTTTATCCCATATAACAGAATGATTATAACATGGAATACATTAGTCACTTAATCAGTTTCTCAATGTGTTAAACAGAATTATTTGCTCATTTGGTAAACATTACCTCATCTGCTTCTTCACCTTCTTCATCATACTAAAAAGGGAGAAAAAAGGAAGATCGGTGTAATATATTTTTGAGAATGACATTATTAACATTTATAACTGTACCCAATAATAACTAAAAGGGGAGAAAAAGTACTTTCCCCCAAGTAACTGATTATAAAATGCCACAAGTTATTTTAATCTGAAGAGTTATTCAGCTCAGTGTCACACCTACATCTGCCCAAAACTGAAATAAAAAATACAATCAAGCAAAGTGTGATCAGACCATTATGACTATATAACTTGTTTGTAACTTGATATAAGGAATTAATTGCACAATAAGCACTTAAAGCCTATTCTACTGACTGTCATTTAGTAAAGTATTGAGGAATGCCCCATTTTATCTGTTGTTACTATAAAGTGCCATAGAGACCATATACAGTGTTTCTGAGGAGCAGTTGGTGGCATGAACTGCCAACCTTGTGGTCAGAAGTTCAGTGATGTTCCTACAGTGCCACAGCATTACCTGATACTCCCTTCAATAAATAGTCTATACTTCCTAATAACATTACCTAAAAAGTACTATGAAATTCTATTATCAGTTTTGTGTGGTCAAAATCAAGAGCATAACAGAATAATTACAATGTATCTCTCATCTAATTCAGAGACCTGGCATTGGCACTGTTGGACGAGCACAGGACTGACTCAAGAGCACTAACAATTCAGAGTAGTCTTACTATTTATTAGCAGATCTGAAAAGTTCCTACACTTAAATCAAACCAAGAAAGCTATCTGTAAGAAAACCCATAGAATTAATTTTGTATCATTCTATTTAAAAGCAAGCTTTTTAAAAAGTAAGTTTATTCATTCAAACTCCACTCACTGGTTCTGTCTACTGTACCCCCATCAATGATTTCATGAATGGTTCAGATTCACTCACATCATCATCATCATCTTCAATAGCTTCTCCAGTAAAGTATAACACTGATCTTGGTATTATACGCTCACGTAAAAAGTGACCTATTTCAAAGTCTGCAGCCAGGATAGCTTCAGCATCATCATCCTATTTGGGAAAAACAAAATCACAAAATTTTAGAACTTATTTAGTGTATGTAACACGTGTATTTAATTCAGACAATAAAGAAAACCAACTTCATTTTTCATTTTCTGTCATTTCACACAATACACATTCTGATATTCAAAACTGTTACCCTACTTCCACAGGAATAACAAACTAAGAAATAACTTGAACTAGAATGCAGCTAAGAATTTAATAAACATTAACAACTTAATATTTACTAGTCTTACAAAATTACAACCCTCAAAGATATTTGCCAATCTCAAAAGAAATTCACTTGCTTTATTTGCTTTTATTAGAAGAAACACTATTAGCATTTTGAGTAGAGCAAGTTTTCAGATCCATTGAGGGTTACCTTCCCTATGCATTGCAAGCCTCAAAATTCCACACGGTATCATCAACAACCATTTCACTCAAAAACCAGTGCTTAAATTTCAAATATAGTAAAGAATTAAGAAATAAATAACAATTCAACATACCAAATCTCCACTTTCAGGAACTGCAAAAAAGAGAGAAGAAACTCAAATGAATACACAACTAAACAGAGTGTACTATAAACAATTATCAATATCCAAACCAAACACTACCTTCAGGAGGGGCAAAAAAATTAAAGAAAGAGTCATTGGAAACGGTTTTCGTCACAGTCCGAACTGTCCCACGCCCCTTGTGTTTTTGCTTCTTCTTAATGGTTTTCAATGTGACATTCTTTCCTTTTTTCCAATCTATCTGGCACCTTTCAAAACAAACAAATCACAATTTGTTAAAAGAATTTGAATTATGATTTTTGCAATTAAATACTTATTGCATTATTGATCAAATCCGTTCAGTAGCAGTTAAAAGGGGAAAATCTTATTTTTAAGCAATTTTTAATGTAATTATTATTTCTATATTAACAAAAATCACACAGCATGGTAATATAAATAAAACGGCGTGCTGAAGTTTAAGAGCCATGGAAATCCTAGCAAACCGGAAAGTTATCCTCAGGAAGCATTTTACTATTGCAATGCATGGAGATACATACAATGTAGAGTCTATCTATGTCAGAGCACTGGTGACATAGTGAGTTATGCATTGGGCTGTTAATTGCCTGCCCTGAGGTTCGAATACACAGCAGAAAGATGTAGCTTTCTGCAACCATAGAAAATTATACAGAGTTGCTATGAGTCAGAATACACTAAATAGCACATAACAACATATACTATTGTAGACAAACATACAACAGACTAATGCTCAAAATCATAAACCATAAAATCTTTAAAAAAACAGATATAATTATCTGTAAAATTAAACTCACCCTGTACAACCCATAATTTCTGGCCCATCAAAAGAAAAGGGATCAGAATCATCTGGTTCAGACCTCATCCTATATGTCTTTGTCAACACTTCATTCGTGAAATACTCATTGGGTTCAAAGTGAAACTCTAACACAAAACTCTTAAAAGAAAAAAAAGCATAGAAATTAGTTAACATTCCAACACCATAATGGCTTTAGTAAATAAAAATTTTCTGACTGCCTCACCTTCCTACACACAAACCAGAAGGAAAG